ATTCGACTGCAGATGTTCACGTAGTTTGGCTCGGGTTAGATGGAGCGGGCGTGTGAGCAACTCCGAGGTAAGTCGTCGTGTATTTGGTAATGATTCCATAGAGAATGTGTTGTCCCATCCAATTCAGATTAGTCGAATTAGCTGGTTAGGACACGTATTGCGCATGTCCAGTCATCGTCTATCGCACCGCGCCTTATTTGCAGTTACGGCTCCAGGTTGGAAGAAACTGCGTAGAGGTCAGCAGATGACGTGGAAACGAGGCATGAAGGAATGCACAGAGCGATTGGGTAGAATCGGTGTCTTTCACCTTCCAGGTTGGGATCCAAAAGACTCTACAACTGGCTTGTTGGGGACATTGAAAAATATGGCGACTAACCGACAGTAGTGGCGTTCTTGTTGTCATTTCTCATCAAGTCTGAATGCTTGAAATGAATGTATGCACACCTAGATTGTGTGTTCTGTTTGTTGACCATAGAGGTTCGCTTCCGTTGCCTCCCTCCAAGTAGGCCCCATCCCTCTCCATCTTGTGCTTTATCACTTGATTTATGTACATTGTGAGCTTGGGAGCGATCAGTGAATTTCGATTCATTGTATCTCGCTATACGATGATGATGTAGGAGGCTCCGGTTGTGGATTCCTCAAGCAAATTCAACTGCATTGACCGGGGTAACCTGGCAGTATTCAGCCCACATGCAAATCATGGAACGTTTTTTTATACAGATTATTAGACCGTGACTTGTTTGGCACAGAGCTTGGCGTCAGACGTGTGTGGAATATATAATGTGTTAAAACCGACCCAGCTCGTTTCCTGATGTAAAATCGGTTCTTGGTTCATTTGGTACCAGACAATCTGATCTCTCTCTCTCTCTCTTGCAATCAGTGCACGAAAACCACTCGATATTAGTGATCCGGCACGGAGAACAAGATGATGAGAAAATGTAAATGCATTATCTCAGGGCCTGTAAGAAGTGATCTCCATCTGGTGACTTCTGGGCCAAGGGTCTAGTAGAATGATACTCTATCCGATTTCACAGTTGTCTCATTTCGGACTGTGTGCCAAACAAATCACAGTACTATAATCTTTATGAAAACAAAAGGTTCCATGATCTGCCCCTGCACAGCTTACTGCCAGGTTGCTCCGACTAAGGTAGATGAATTCACAACCGGAGCTTTCGGTTAGCCAAAGTCCGACCCTCAAAGTAACGGTTTGTGTTTGCGTGTGTGTAGACTGCAATCTATTGAGGCTGTATCCAGTTCATCGGATCATAGGTCGTTTGGACGAGATAGAAAGACCAAGGTACCCAAGACACCGCGACCACTGCCATAAAAAGGAAGGTGTGGTTTGTACACCACTTATTGGTTGGTTTGGAATCAGGGAGTTCAGTCACCTCCCCTAAATGAACGGTCAGTAATTCACCGACCTGATTATAGCCCCCGGATGTTGGCTTCTGGTGATGGAAATTGCCGTTATCATGGCATAACCCTGCCCTGTTACAAGGAGAAGAATCTCATCTAAACACATTCGGTAGAATACATATTGGGTGGAGAAGCGAGTTTACAACCATGATGAAATTTTGAGCATAGAAAGTAGGTGTAGTTATAGTGTTCGTGCTTGACGAAGAGAATGATATGCTACGCGGGTACACATGACAGTGGTGGTATAATGGTACGAATATTGGAGAACTGTCGTGTTCACTTGAAACAGTCCTCTCGCTTTAGATTCTCACCGGTCGATTCAAGAAGCTAATCCTTACTAGCCGTACCCCAGTAGACCAATGAACAGACCGAAGGTAGACGAGTCGTTTAAAAGGGTTCCAAAGAGACATTACTTTGCTACCTTACTGTTCCCACTTGAAACAGCCAAGACAGAAGTTGCATCCTGGAATAAAAACAACCAATCAGACAGGTGACGCCTTGACGTGATCATTATGTGAANGGGCTACAACGGAGACAAATATGGTGAGGTCAGAAGTGGAGTGTCGCCAGAGTTTGCCTATGAAATTGCGAGTAGGTCACTGTTTGAACGGCCACGCATGAAATGCCGACATTTAGAAATGTGAATCACCACCTAATGAGAGACAGTCCTCAAAAAAGCAAAAATGTAAACGGAGGTCGTGTAATCGAATGCCACACCCGCCGCATAATGTTCCCAATCGACTATGTCCCTTTGCTGAAGTTTGCATGTACCATTTTACATTCGACAAAATGAAGACAAAAGTGAACGATTTTATTTGCAGAGGAAACTTTCATGTAGTGACCGAAAGAATGCACCGAACAACTGTTGCGTTCTTTTTTTCCTGTCGGAATTTGAACAGCCGACTAACAGGATAGGCGCCCGATCTCTGAGCTCTGTAACACACGGTGGATAGTCAGAAAGTTGCTGAAATGGCTACACTAATTTTCAACCTTACGTTTGGAAAGTCCCACTCACAAATACAAGCTCAAGACAATTTTGTGATCTTGAATTTCGCGTATAGATTTCGGTTCAAGAAGATCATACACAGAGGCCACTGTGTGGGAAAGTTGAATGGGCCAATCAAACCAAGGCATAACGAGATATAAATACTATTGACATCATTATTGTTCACTGTATTACTTTATTATATCTGTTAAATTCAAATTATTTTTCAGCAAAAAATTACATAACCCACCACGTTTACTTGCAAATATCGATAAAAACAACGTCCGATCCTGGCGCAGCCTCAAAACAAAAACGACGACCTCGGCTGGGCGCCCGCAGAATCCTACCTCCGGATGCCCCATGACACAGCGCACAAATCCCTCAAACATCAGCTCATCAAGAGTTTGAGGAATGACCGCGAGATTTGATGGATAGGAAAGTGTAGAGAGATAGAGAAGGCTGCTGCTATTGGTAATAGCCGCAACCTTTTCTGCCTAATTAGGAATACGGGACACAGGAAAATAGGCGTAAGTGAAGTAATTAAGGAATCCGATGGTACACTGATTCACGATCAGCAACGCCGTCTTGGTTGATGGGCTGAACATTTCGAGACCCAGTTCAACTGGCCCCCATAGACATCCGAATTATCATCCACCTCCCCCCCCCCTCCCACCTCGATTGGGCATATACTCCCAGTTGATGTCAGCCCTCCATCTAAAATGGAGGTCACCCGGGAATTAAGTTATCTCAAAAGGCATAAAGCCTCTGGCCTAGATAGGTTGTACCACCCATCGGCTTTTACAAATGGAGGCTAAGCGTTACTCTTGGGGTTAACGAAACTCCTGGGCACAAAATGGAAACAAAACAGATTCCAATGGAACGGTGTGAATCTGTCATCTTACCGATTTACAAGAAAAGTGACAGATCCTCTGGTGAAAACCACAGAGGAAGTAGTTTAATCAACATTGAGGGTATGAAAACCCTAACCAGGAGTCTGGGGCGCATAGGTCCTGTTAGGCTCCTCGTCTGGGGACCTCGAAATGATCTAAACCGATGGTTAGAGGTACTGAGGGATATGGCTGAGGGTCGTAAACAGTGGCGTTCGTGCATCTTCTCAATCTCTTTGCAATCTTAGCCCACTGAAATTTTCCATTTTCTATTCGATCCTACTTTCAACTCTCCCATCTTTCGCCTACTGTTCATCCAAATGGGCAGTCAAACGACAGCAACCAAAACCAGCACACTAAAGTGTATGGCTAATGGTTGTACAAACTGAAACTGACGGGTAGCAAGGTGCTGAGAATCAGCCTATATAAATCAGATGACTAGCATGTCGGATAAACAAACCACCGACCGAGGTTCGAATCCCAGTTAACAAACAGGATACACACATTACCGATCATTCGTAAAAAGGATAAAAAAATAATTATGAAGTACATCTAAGGTTAATCAGTGATTAGTGACGTGTAGACTCTGTATAATGAAAGCCCACTCAAGAATAAAAGCACGCAACAGCAAATAACATCAGTTGCGAAGAAAACTACAAAATGGGAAAGTAATCAGATGGGATATGAGTAAAAGCGATGCAGACTATTAGATCGATCGGGAGGATGTTGGATTGGTGCACTGCTTCCAGGACCTGTCGCAACAATGGCGATGTTATTCATTTAGTTTAGGGGCATATGCTGAAAGATTAAATATCTACCTTTGTCATGTCAATTTCGTCCCCAAAATCAAAGATTATGCTACTGGAACTGATCAGCAGCGTCATAAATATACCGATACTGCTTAAGTAGCAGTATTAAAAACTAAGCAAGGGCTTATTTGTGATAATTTCATAAATATTAGACCTTAATGAAAGTAACTGACAGACAGATGCATGCACGAGATCAACAAGCCCTGTTTTCGTCGGATCGTACGCCTCTCATGAGGTGACCCGAGTCAGGTGACTGACCCAAGGGCGCCACAAGAAACACCTATCTGTGCCAAAACACAGAAGAGTGAACCCCCGTAGAATGAAGATAACGGTTGATGTGGCAATCAGCTGATATTTTCGTTCACCTAGTTACATTCTACTTGAATTGTTTCTTAACCACTGTCTCCAATTTTCCCCATTTGAGCTGTTCAAATGTAGTCATTATTGAACAAGTGTATCGAGTTAAAAATGATGGAATTCGACAGAATTGAATGGAACTTTCTCTTCGCTCAACAAGAGGATGTGAGTGTCGTTGTGCGCTATAAAATGAATAAGCTGGCTGGCCCGAGGTGAATGGATAGCCACAAACTGTCCATCGTAGAAACAAGTGTAACGCACTTGGTAATTTCTCATTCCAGTTTAAGTGTGGGTGATGCTCATACTTCACTGAGCCTTTTGGTTCACTGTGCCCGTGTTTCTTCTACTCGTTCGTGACTCGTCCACGGTTCACGAAGATCGTCCGATTCGTCGACAGTTGTAGCCCACGTCCGGACTCGGATCACATTAGACCAGCTAGCTCATCGCTTCTCGGGAGACATCTCGGGGAATACTATACACGAATTATACCACAACAGTCCAAAGGAAACTAACACAACGGTAAACGCAAACAGATCAACAACATACAGCGTCATCTTTCGCGGCCCATCCCGACCAGCATCCCCCACGTGATTGGACTGAAGGATGACGGTCTGATCAAACTTGTTTGACAATGAATAGTCCAATGTATTGACCAGTTGGTGATATTCTGCGAAGGGAAAACAAATAATCAGAGGAAGGCAGTATGAGCAGACGTACTGGGGACTGGTCACGAGATAAGGGCAGGGAACCAACAAGGAGAATAGTGGGGGCAAAACTCAGAAGTTACGGGTCAGCATAACATCGATCTGGAGACGGTGAGTTCGATTCGCTCATCGGCTCATTCCTAAAAATTGACTGTACATTTTTATTTAAAATAAATAACAAAGGAACTAAAAGATTATTTTTATTATTATTATTGGCGCGAGACACTTTTGTATTGGTTGTTGTCATCGTGACTGTATAGTTCAGAGGCGTTTCATAGTCAACCAAATTATGCAAACACGCTTGCGTGTGTACCAGATGTGCACAAGCAGTTTATTCAACCTTCACCTCAGAAAGCATCGAGGAATCGGATGTGACGATAGATTCGAGGACGGAGCAAGACATGTATGCGTAACAAGTGTGAATCGCATTAAGGAAACCCGGTTCACAAGAGTGACACATGTGGATAATCCATTGGTGAACTGAGAACTGCCCAGAAAATACAAATACAAAGTGTAGGGTCAGTAAGTTGTGACCTGAGAACGGGAGTGGGGCNGGGGGGGGGGGGGGGGGGGGGCGGAGGAAAGCATAACTTCGGTTATCAGATCACACGGTTTTGGAGAATGAATCCATCGACGCATATGCACACGCACACGCATAGGCGGATGTGCACACACAATGAGGTCGCAAGCGCATAATGGTCTCGGCAGCGAAATCGACTATATTCTCCAATCGCTGTCACGTGCATTTGAATCGGGATATCGATTCATTAGGTGATAGCTGCACCACTGCACACGGAACAGGAAAAGAGGCACAGAATTGCCTTTGGATGTGCTGTGTGTGGGAGAGAGAGAGCACGCACGCACGCACTAAAGAGAGGAGATCAACTAGCGTGCCTACTGTAAGTTAACTGTACATTTGTATATTCAATAAATAGAAAAAAGGAAGTAGAGATTAATTTTTTTTATGTGAAACATCCAGTTTTCATAATCCAGATTTGGGTGATGAACAGCGGAAAAGGTAAACCTCAGCTAATCATGCAACTCGGCAACCTGAGTGGCGAACCACATAAGGCCCCGGCGTGGTAAGGACAAAGTCAGACTCAAAGGCTGGTAGTGACCAAACGGACAGGTCAACTTTCATCTTATTGCAACCTCCCGCTCTCTCTCATCCAATGAATCAACGAGGCCGCGGTTGTACTCATACTCACTCCTGGTATGAACAGCAAATGAAACCGAACCCTATTTTTAACATCCATGTCGAGTTTGTCTCCCAATGAGAGGTTCAAATGACCGAGAATGTTAAATCCGAAAAATATGATAAGGATAACCCGGGTTTTGTGTGATTATTTCTTCCTTGATCTTCATCTTCAACGGGAACTTAGATCAACTTAGAATTTTCTCGTTCATGGGGAAGCGTGAGAATGTAGTATAGAATAACCACCTCGATAGCGTCACTTTCTTCTTCGAGGATGCACCCGGAACAGACCACAGATACGAACTATAGCGTGGCAGAATAATGGCGACGGAGCTGATGTTGTTTCGGTGCACATCATAATGCACAGATATCTATGGATATTCGTGGCTTTTCGGAGAGCCAGATCCTTTGCAAGACGGAAACCCAGTATTACATCATCACTGATTGTCTACTACTGTTTGTACACTGAAGCGCTGCACCCTGATGGTATGAGGGTGGCCATCTAAGTGACAATTCGCCTATCTGCGACAAGGAGACCCGTTCGGTAGATTACAGACCCATCACGAGACTGGCCTATCCGCGTGCGAGAATAGTGGCATCGATTTACCTCCAGGTGGCAGACTATTTCACATGGAGTGTGCAGACGACATTGTGCTGCTAAATGAAGATCCAGATAAGTTACAAGCTTTCTGAATAGTTTGAGTGCCAGCGTAGCCACGTTCGGTTGGCGTTTTGCACCTTCAAAGTGTAAAATGCTACTACAAGACTGGGTTGGTCCAGCACCTAGCCTCACTCTTACTGGAGAAGTAATAGAACAGGTGGAGAAGTTTTGTTTTTTGGGCAGCTACATCTCCCTCGGTGGATGCATCACGGATGAAGTGTCNGACATGCGGCTGTCTGTGAAGGGTCGAGTGTATGCTGCGGTAGTTTGTCCAGTTCTGCTATACGGCGCAGAAACTTGGCCATTAAGAAAAAAAGGGCAAAGATAAACTGTCAGCGTTTGAACACCGCTGTCTACACAGCATTTCACGAATCTGGTGGGGCATCAAGAAGAGCAATGCTGATGTTTAGGTAACCATGGTCACCCACTGGAACAAGTGGTCGACCTTCATAGATTACATTGGTTGGGAAATGTGTTATGCGTACCACCAGATAGGTTACTACGCCGCATGGTGTTCGCCGAAGCAGGTAGCGGTGGAAAAAACCCAAGGGTGGTCA